ATCCCTGTTTACGGAAGTATTCCCACACGTGTACTTTTACTGGGTATTTTACTGTATGTTGACGAGTCAACATACCACGCATATCTTCTAAGAGTCTAGGTTCAAAAGGATGATTTATCGGTGAAAATTACATTAGCAAAATCATAATCAATATTAGCCTTTGCTCTGCAACTGTTTATCGCATATGTTTTTTGCTCAAAAAAGGTTTTAACTTTATGGACCGCCAACTATATTCAGAATCAAATAAATCTAATAGTATATTAAGACTTATTTCTATACCTTTTTACAATAAAAGATTTTTCGCTTTCCATAACGAACACTCAAAATTCTTCTCAAATACCTTGATGATAGCTTGTCCTTTTTCGTCGTTGCCACGTTCTAGCAGATCATTAACACTTTTTATTTCACTTCCTAATAAACCCCTCTGACTTCATGTAGCGACCGGCAGTTGTACATTTTCGATTCTTTCGGATGTGTGCAAAGAAATACTGCTTTAAAATGATTTGCATACGCAGCACTCATTGTGTTTATTTTGCGTTACAGATAAAACAAGTCACAATACAATCTCAAAGCATTCTTCCGAACTATTCAGAGAATCGAAAAAATCGAACACCTGTGCGCCATTTGAATGAGATGCGAAATCGTACGCTCTTGTGGAATAGATGTACATATATTGATAAGGATCCAAATTGAAGGATTGAAATGTCTATTTAATTCGTTACATTCACACGAGAATAAAGAGTTTTCTGTGCATCCGAACAACCGATGTAAGTTCTGATAGGCTTTTTTATATTTTTCATGGTACATTACGTAGCAAGGAAGAGTATAGAATAGTTTTTAATATTATATAAAGCAGGAATAAATAGTTATTTTTTTCAAACTTTTTTTGTTGATAATTTTTAAACTAAGAATGAACACTAAAACCATCTCACTCAGAGTCATGATCCAATATATGCCAAGGTCAAGGTCATCCGAGTTGGGTCCCTTATTGTCGATATTTAAACAAACTTAAAATTTGTAATTAATATATTATTCGAGGAACGATTATTTGCTCGATTTCATTTTTAATACTATTAACAAAAAAATCCAAAGTCTCCTAAGAGAAACTAAAGTGCAGGTCCATTTCAGTAATGAGAATTCTGACAGAACTTCTTGGTTCACAATTCCATTTATACTTTCTATTATCGAAAAATTTAGATAATTTAATATCAAAACACTAAAGTTTCGTTTTACAACACTAATAAACTAATCATTTATCAAAATCCAAAAAGATCCTTGTTCTCCTTCTTACAACGTCATTTATAAGATCAAGTACTTAGACTGTGATGCCACATACGTGGGACAGACGGGCAGATAATTAAAAATCAGAATTACTGAACATCATATTTGTTAGAATATTACTGTAATATTATCTGTCCGCTCTGTGATAACCCAGTAGTAAAAAAGAAACGTTTTGAAATATTTCAGCAATGTTACAACGTTGCTGCGCTGTTGCTGAAGTTTCAAAACGTTTCTTGCTTACTAGAAACGAACCACAGATTGCAATTTAGACATGACTTTGATTGGGTGAATATCGTGATGAAGAACCTTATTATATTAAACGCTTAATTTCCGAATGTTAAATATTAAAAAATCTCAATTTACAGACAGATACAGAAGGTCTTTACAAAGCATATATTATATATTACAGGTGTACGAGAACCCGAATAGATCTAGTCGGGACGGGAATTTTTGTCGGGTCGGATTCCTCAAGCTTTCGATATTCCCGATAGAGTCGGAATTTTTGAGAATATTCAGGATTCCTGATAGAGTTGGAATTCTCGAAAAAAATCGAGATTCTCGATAAATTCAATATTCATCTGTCTCTTTTTCTAAAAATTCAATTACTGTTTCAAGACTCATTTTAATAAACTTGTTTCAATAAATTCTTTCGAATTTTCAATTTTTTACGCTTTTTCGAAAGTAGCAATCGGGTTGTCGAAATTTTCGAGAATATAAATTCCTTCGGGAATATCGACTTTATCGAGAATCTCAACTCTTTCGGAAATTTTGGACATTTTCGGGAATCTCGACTCTGTCGAGAATCCCGAAATTTTTGAGATCTGATCCGACTTAAACCGATGTCTTCGCGACCTGTTTCGATCATCGATTTCTGATATTTTCGAATTCTCGCACATTTCTATATACTGATTATAAACAAAATATGACATTACAGCTAAGATTATACAGGGTGTCCTATTTTAAAAGATCCATTCAAATATCTCAGAAATAATGCGTTAAATCAAAATGTATTTCAAAAAAGTTTTGTGGCTTCAAGGAGGACATAAAATGGTATTATTGGTTTGACCTTGGGTGGTGTTGTCATTTAGATAGACGGTTTTTAAAAAAAATTTACATTTCTCTAGTCATATGGATTATACATATTATTACAAAGTTATATTCTAATTTGTAATAACGTTGACTGTATAACCAATTTGACGAGCATTCTATCTACATCTTACAAAGGATTTGTATGGCGAACTCGGTGAATTTTTAATTAAGTAAATTTGCTTGCTGATTTTTTCTCTAGTAATGTATCTTAACAAATTCTCTAACAACTGATCTTCTACTGTTTGTGAACAATTTCGTTTTCTTTACTTTGCCATTCATCGTGTTCCAACTGACTCACTGAGTTTTATTAATGACTAGTTGAAATTCAATTGACTTTTTACGTTTTTTTACTGCGTGTTTTATATATCTGAAGACGGCACAATCATAATGCCGAAATATGTGAATGTAATGTAATATTACCAAATTTATATCTTATAGTAATTAATTAAGAATGTACACATTTTAAATAGTTTATATTATATACATTAAAATATTGTTTAAATTTGATTTTTATATGTCCTTCTATTTTCTTGATATAATATTATAAGTTAATAAGAGTCCTTTATTTTAGTTTATTTAAAAAATTTTTGTATTCATTGAGCACACTACGTATTTTGTTAGTGATGAAATACGCATCCTAGAGTATAAGCAATAGGATGAGCCGCATAACGAAAACGTCTCTGAATTTCTTTCTCTTTTCTCCTTGTCTTTTTTCTCTCGTTTCTTTTTTTCATAGAAAGAAATATAATTCAACGTACTATCAGTCGATTTACGTAGGTAAATAAATTTCACTGAGAGTGAACGGAGAAAGAAGAAAACGAAATCTGCCTCGTGTCGCCGTTTACTATTTCTACGGGCAGTCGATCGGCTGGTGTGGGCGCTGATTCCGCCGCACCGGGACCATTATTATCGAACACATGAAAGTGCAGAGATAATAAAAAATTGAAAGGAAAAAAATACGAATTTTTTCCCCTTTTTTTCCTTGACTGCGAGAGATTTAATACGCAGCGCTTTGCGCATGGAATTCATTCGGGTTTCCAGAAATCATGAAGTGAGATGTGGCTCTCAATCTGGCAGACATTTGAGAGATACTCGAGTCGTCCCACATTTGCTTTCTTCATCTGTAAGTTCTTTATACAAATTGTAGTTGATCTTTTTCTAAGGATATTATGAAGAAACACTATTTTTTCAAACTTCCTTTAATTCGCAATACCGAATCCGTTGGCAATTGAAAATGTCATTAAAGTGAAGTTCTCTGAAGTATTTATTTATTTATTTTCGTGTTGAATTAAAATATGAACATTGTTATCTTATCACACATGTAATACATTCCATTTAAAATTTAATTTGTTTTAAAATATCTTTATATGCATAAAAATACATTTTTTGGTAAACTAGTGTTATTCAACAATTTTCTGAAAAAGTTTAATGTAAAAATAATTTAATAAAATTAAGCTGCGACGGAATTAGATTTACTGCAAAGTTTCGATAATTATAATTGCATTATTATAGAAAATTGTAGTTGCGTGACACACGATTCACGAAAGGCGATTCTGTGCCATAATATGTTTAATACGAGGCAGATTGTTAGCGCGTATGTACAATTGCGAAGAGTGCACGCGAGATAATAGAAGACACGGGGAGAGAAAAAAGCAGAAATTACAAAGTATTCATCGCGCAAAACTATCGACTGTCTCGTTTGTGCGCTTCAGCGAAAGAGGTGATTATCTTTTTATGAATGTTGCAGCAAAAGAGGGTAATTCAAGGTAATCTTGTAGGACGATGGTTCCTGCGCGATGTTTTTAAATGCGAATAAAGAATGCATTTCTTTTGATATTGTTTCCAAAGTAAATAGAAAGATCTTCATTTTCGCAAAGATACTTTTTCATATATTGTCATGTTATATCTATTTCATATCGTGTTTTACATTAAATGCAAAAGATGGAAAATATTTTCGAAAAATTTTTTTGAGTTTATTGTGAGATACGGAATAAAACAGACACGACAGTATATTTTTAATAATAAAGATTTTATTTTAAAAATAAAGATTTTTGTAATATTAGAAGAAAGAAGAAAAAAATTCGTTAATTAGAAATTAGCAATTAGTGCCTTTTACTACAATTTGTAATTCATGAAATTGATTAAATTCATTAACACGTTAACTGTCGAACTTATTTTGTTTCATTTTCTGTTTATATGAGACAATACCATTCAGAGACTCATGCGCGATGCGTGACCTAAAGTATAAATAAAAAATAAAATGTAAACAAAAAGCACCGATCCGGCGTGGCATAAACGGAAAGCCTAGTGTTGGTCCGTATGTAACATGTTAAGTATTATATTTAAAAAATTATGAAGAGTCCAAAAGTTTATAATTTTGGGAATATGTCGTTATTCGTATTCTTTTAATAATATACAAATTACATATAAAAATCTGCTTTTATGTATCTGTTCGTTTTCTCTTTTTTTTTTATGCTATGTGCCACAGATTTTACCTTTAAAATGTAATTAAATTTGATTTAATCAATTTCGTGAGAAACAATGGAGATGTATTTTAGCTATATGATTTATTAGCTTCAACATCAGTGTTTTCAGTGATATTGATTTAAATTTTTCTGTGCTTTTTGCAGGCATCTGCAGGACAAATTGCTCTTCATTGACCGCACCAGAACGGCGATATGGGGCTGGAGTTATGGTGGATATGCAACCGGCATGACGCTCGCTATGGATTTAAAAGGTGTCTTCAAATGCGGCATGTCCGTCGCACCAGTCACAGATTGGGCCCTTTATGGTATGTAATTGACAGATAATTGATAGAATTAATAACGCAACACATAAAGGTGTTTGATATGATTATTTCAAAAGGAATAAAGAAAAGGAATATGTTTTAGCATCGTAAATCAAAATTATCTTGCGAGAGGATGAATATTCTATGTAAATCATTAAATTACATTGCGCGATAACGGAATTAGTTTGCGTTTAGTAATAATAAAAAAAAAAAAATAAGAAAAATAAGAAGTAGAAAAAGCAAATGATTCTGATGAACGAATAAAACGGAAAATATACGTGCTTTATAATTAGCGCAAAAGCTAGAAAGTATTTTCTATCAATAAGGATAGATTTTCGTATCGTTAGAGTTAAAGTTACAAAAGAATTCGTCTATTTAGCTAAAATTTAATGCTTTTTCTAACTAATAAATAATTAAAATGTAATAAATAGCAAAAATTAAAGTAACTATAATAAATAATTGAAAATTCAATCAGGAAATGGTAGTTACACTTAAATTAATAAAATTTCTGTATCTTATCTCTATATTGAATTAATCTTCACTGAATAATTTGTTTTGCTTATTTTAAATTATTTTAAATATATAAGGTAGAAAAAATAATTGGAATATATTTAATCTTTATTTTCCAATACTATTACTGTGCCATTAACATGTGTCAAGTAATATTTTTCCAGCTTGATATCCTTCGAATAAACGAATATTATGTTAAGAGACTTTACTTATGGAAAATGTAGCTTATATAAAGTAACTTATGTTAAGCTCATTTGGTCTCAGAATTTGTCTAAGAATTTTTTACGCCCCGTCGTTTTAATGAAGAAAAGTGTGCATTCCATGGAAAAAACGCTCTCCTGCAACTTTAATATTACTTTTTCAACTAAATTTAAATTCGTGTCAGCATTTACCTCCTTCTGTTAGAACATGCGAGAAAAATACACGTGATTTACAGAGTGATGTTAAAAAGACTTATGCAGCGTTACACTTGTGCAATTTCTCCATAAAATATTACACGCCACATAATGGTGTAAACCGTTTCTTTTTCGCCCTTCTTTTTATCCGTACGCTATTCTTGTTAATGTAACCATGTTAATTATTTAATTACAGATTCGATTTATACTGAACGGTTCATGGGTCTGCCGATTGTTACTGATAATCTGCAAGGCTACGAACATGGTCAGCTGCTCAATAAAGTCGAGAACATCAAGAATAAGATGTATTATTTGATTCATGGTACTCTGGATGACAATGTCCATTATCAACAGTCGCTCATGCTTGCGAAGGTGTTGGAGCAGAAAGACATACTCTTCAGACAACAGGTACGTCCCCATTCTTAACAGAGAGATTGAATTAAAAATTATATCTAAGTATATCTAAGTATCGCAAATCTTTTGCTTTTGCAGACGTACACGGATGAAGATCATGGTATCGTCCAGTCGCGAGCGCATCTGTACCACTCGTTAGAAAACTTTCTGGATGAATGCTTTCAAACATCATCATGATCGGAACACGGGATAATGATGACAATCTAAACGCTGTACACCACCTGCCTCACACTTGTAAATATTTTGTCACGTGTACATAATTTGTGTACAATATGTAATATGAGCGTTTAGAGAATGTACATAGCAGTGTACGATTGTTGAGGAAGGATGGGGGAGAGAAGGGGAGGGCAGAGGGAGGGGAGTGAGGGAGAGAGAGAGAGAGAGAGAGAGAGAGAGAGAGAGAGCGTAAAATGTGTAGAGATGAAATAATTAATTAGATACCGATATCGTTGTGAAATTAAGCAGGGCAGGTCTGTAAAAAAAATCATGTTTGATACGTTTTTTAAAGTACGTACTCAATCAAATGATGCGTTGAAGGCCTAATAACGGCAACTTCGTCGCTTCGCCGTTCACACCTCACTAGAATGTATTCTGTATCATTACAGCTCGTACTTACATTCTCAGCACACAGGCATTATTCAATCGTTGTATATTATAGCACATGTTGTTTCTCAGATGATCGAATGAACGATGAATGAACTTATCGACTTGATGTCAACTTGAATAACAAAAATATAGGGTGCAATTCTTAATTTAATTTTTTCGCAATATTTTTTTAATGAGTTCACAATTTTTATTATTACTTAACGAAATTTTATTTGTACGTTTTTACATCGTCAAATTAATGAAGAAATGATATTAATTGGCAAGTCCATTCATTAATTAACATAAATTATTCATTAATCTATGCATCGAAACTTCTTGGAATTTTTCTCAGATGAAAAAAATGTTTTTTTTAACTTACACTGAATTAATCATGCACATCATTAAACATGAATAATAATTTGACCATCCAGAATAACTGCTTCATATTTATATAGGTATATTAGATTTATTTAATATATATATATATACGTGTGTTAAATTTAGTTTTGTGGTTATTGCAATTATAATTTTAATGAAATA